TTTGGTTCAATCATGAGGACTTTTAACTGCATCAGTGGACTTATCAGTTGATAGATTCATAATTTGATGGCATCACTGGGAGTGATAAAAACTCTGGAGGTAAGACCTAGAAGAGACTGAATGTTGGGTTGGAGATATAGTTCAGTGGCACAGTGCCTGCCTGGCAAGTAAGGTCCCGAGTTAGTCCCAGTAATCCCTACCCAAAAAAGAGATAACTGAATGTCCTTGAGGGAACTACCACTTATCTCTGGACCCTTCTCTGGCTCTCTAGGATTCCTTTTGCCATGAGGTAAACAGCTTTCCTCTGCCATGACCTTCTGCTGTAATGTTTTTTACCTCGCTCCATTTGCCAAGCAGTGGAGTAAAGTTGACCATGAACCTAATAAATCTGTCCTACTCTAAGTTGTCTTTCAGAATTCTGTCACAAGGTTGGAAAGCTAATACACAGGCTTAAATAGCTAATTTATCTCCATCACCTTCCCAAAGGCTTCCTTCCTTTCTTCCTTCCTTCCTCCCTCCCTCCCTCCCTCCCTCCCTCTCTCTCTCTCTCTCTCTCTCTTTCTTTCTTTCTTTCTTTCTTGCAGAACCAGGGATTGAACTCATGCCCTTGTGCGCTTATTCTATTGAGCCATCTCCCCTGCCTGAGCCTTCACTTTTTGGTATATCAAAACTTGTAAGTTAGACTCTATTATCAACTGATGGGTAGCAACACAAGGCTGGTGAGTGTCAAAATGTGAAGACCAATAAATGAAAGACTGAATTATCCAAGAAAGACCAACAAAGTAAATCAAGAAACTAAGGATGAATATGTTCAAAATGAAATGTATGTTAATATTTATTACATAGTCTTTCTATCCCAGTATTGGGAATTGAACACATGGTCTTTAGGATGCTAGGCAACCCCAACTGAGCTGCATTCTCAGCTCATCTTATTTTTTGAGACAGTATCACTAAATTGTTCAGACTGGTCTCAAATTCACAATCCTGTCTAAGCCTTCCAAACTGGTGGGATTACAGGCCTAAACCCCCATACCTGGTGATGTAGTCTTAGGTAGTTATTACAAGCTGTAAGACATGATTCCAGTTTGCTTATACAAACTTATATTCCCATCAAACTCATTCTCAGTACACAGGTCAGATTTTTTTGTTTTCTATCACAGCTTCTCAGCAGGCCTAAATGATGCTAAATTCAAAATTTAAGTACTACTTACATTAGGGTTCTTAAAAGGGGAAGGCAGAGAGGCTTACAAAGTTAAACAACAGGAAACATGATACACGCAAAGATTCATGTAAGGAATTGGCTCATGGGATTTTGAAGGTCTGGCTGCGGTATTATATGTATTTTGGTTTTCGCCCAGTTCCTGGTTCATAAATATCTTTCCAAAGGACAAGTCATAGAAACTAGGATTGTTTTTTCCCCCTACTCTTCACTGCTTTTAAATTCTGTGACCCACCCTTGGAGCCCTATAACCTAGAGGGAGAAATGGTTCCCAGAAAGGATAAGCAGAATGTTCAACAACCAGGCCTTTCTGGGTTCCCCACAGTGTCCACGTACTACATTCATACCTTTTATGTCCAGTCATACTTCAACATATGTAGCTGTCCATGGTTCAGTCAAACCTATAAAATGAAATCTCCATAAAAACCTAAAATGATAGGGCTGGGAAAGTTACCAAAGAGGTGTGTGGAGGTATTACTTGGTTTTGGGTGCTTAAGCCTCCTTTTGGAGGTGACTGCTAGGTTCTTTCTGTCTTGAGCAAAGAACCGGTCAAGACAAATATAAATGGAAACGTTTTATTAAAGGTAGGAAAAGAAGTACACCCTACAGCATGAGGATGAACACAATACATGTAAGAGCAAACTCCATGTGGATTATCAAGTTTTGTATCACCCACTGGTGAGACTGATGTCAGGTCCAGGCTTTTTTATTGAAAAGCTGCTTGAGGTCTTACAATAAATTCACATACAGGGGCTTGAGAACTGTTCTGTGCCTGTGTCCTGGGACAGACAATTAATTAACAGGTCACACGACCCCAGCTAGCTTTGCCTAAGAGCTATTCCAGGAAGTGGCAATGGCAAACCAGAGAGGGCATGGAAATGACACTCCTTCTCCTATACCTTTACCTTTATGTCTCTGCATCAGTCTCCTTTGTAATATCCTTTGTAATAAACTAGTAAATGTGTTCCTGATCTGTGAGCCATTCAAGTAAATTAAGCAAACTCAAGGAGAGAGTTGTAGGAACCTAAGAGATGCTTGCTGTGGGACACAGCTTTGTCTACTGTTATGGAGTTGCCGGCTTGATAGGGAGAAAGAAGTCCTCTCTGTGTTGATTGTGGTGTAAAGAGCAGAAAAAACTTGGATGTTTTGTTTACCAATAGACCAAACAAAACCAAAATCTGAAGACTAGGCTAGTAGAATTTCTTCTTGCTCATAGATCAATGTTTTATTCAGGCCTCCAACTGATTAGCCATGGTCTACCCACATTAGGAAGGTTGGTTCAATTTATTCAAAATCCACTTATTTATGTTAATTTTACAAAAAGTCTTTACAGAGCAAGGTCACAAAGGCCTGCAATCTTAGTATTCTGGGAGGCTGAGGCAGGATGATGGAAAGTTTGAGCCAAGTCTGGGTAACTTAACAAGAACCAGTATCAAAATAAAAAACAAATTGGAGATACAATTCAGTGCAAAAGTCCCAGGTTTGATCCCTAGTACTGCAAAAAAACAAATGAAAGAAACCTTCACAGAAACATCTACAATGTCTAACCCAATATCTAAGCACTGTGGCCCAGTGACAACAAAATCAACCACTATTTTAGCCTACCCACTGTGAAATAAATAACTAGGTCTTTTATTTTTTTAGTTTTATAAAGAAAAGCAATTTATTTCTTATAGTTTGGGAGAGGTCTTTCTCTTAAAATCCAGAATTTACAAAATTCCAGGAGAAAGATCAGCATGTAAATTATCTGATTAACTCCCACACAATCTAACACAGTGCCCTACATATAGTTGATAATTGAATAAAACTCACAGAGGAAAAAGATACTAAGCTTGGCACTAAAGAGTACAAGCAGTGTTGTTTTTATTTTTTCCTCCAAGTAGTGTTTTTAATATCAAGGGAATTAAAATTATGCAATAAATCCACTTAGAATAAAACGAAAGAATGACTTACAGCAAAAGAAAGACCAGACATCAACAGGATAGGGGAAAAGTCAGTATATTTATAAACAACATACATTCAAAAGCATCAAATCAGGAAAGTCATCACAATTGGTATTTTTCTTCTCTTCCTGATATTCATAAGTAAAGCTTCTCTGTGCTGGCTCCCCCTGCCATTCTGAGACGGAAAAATGAGACTAGGTGTAGTAGTATACATCTGTAATCTTAGCACTTGGGAGGCTGAAAAAGTCTGATCTGTGTAGTGAGATCCTGTACTAAATTAAAAAAAAAAAAAAAGTAAAGCTTCTGCTCTATATCCAGCACTATACACTAACTCATACTAAAAGAGTCTGAGGTAATAACAGGAGTAAGTGAGGTGGGCCAAATAACTTAGTGGATTGAAGTGCTCGCAAGCAGGTGCAGGGGCCAGGGATTTGATTCCCAGGCTTGTGGCCGTGGCCCCACCCCACCCCCAGAGCAGCTAAGACAGCAACTGAGACTGGGTGTGGTGGCACTGTGCCTATAATCCCAGCTCTTA